GCTTCTGACTCTCTCTCTAAGGCTCTGAAGTGCCCACGTTCAGAGTCCCCACGTGTGCCAAATCTGATCTGATCGGTCGGCCTGTCGGCTCTGCCGTAATTGGTCAGTTGCTCAGCACGGTTCTCGGAAATGTCCCGCCCCTTTTAGCATATTGGGAAAGCAGCCACTGGCTCCGTCCGAGGGGAGCATAAATATTAGCACCTTAGCACTACTGTGCTACCGCAGGCTACAGCATATCGTGGGCGTGCTACAGAAGTTAACGGGCCTACATCATGAGCTGCAGGGCTTGCCACAACGAGCCAATGGGCTTAGATCAGTGATATCACACTGACAATGATGTCGGACTGACAAATTTTTATCGAGGGGGGCTAGAACCGAGCGTTACATGCAGCTAATGCTACAGCTAACAGGAGGACGTAGGAGAAGCAGTGTTTCCGCGGACTTTTAATTTTTGCAAATAGATGTGCCTAAACATGCACAGGACACTTGGAAAACACACTAAAGAGCAGATAAAACCAGAAAAAGCATAATATGGAACGTTTAAATGAAATGCTGTTTGACTGGTGAATAAATCGAGTAATATCGGCGCATATCTGCGATACAATTAGCCGATACAGATAGTTACTGGGTATGCTAATATCGGCGGATATCATCAGCTGGACGATTAATCAATCCGGCTCTAGTTCATACCACTGAAGTGAGCCAGAGTGAAGCCTCTGTGTAATAAACTATTGACATGATGCTGCAGATGTGTTTTATTTTATCAATATAAAAGAAACATGTTAATGAATATACCTGGCATGATATCCATTTAAGAAATCAGATAAATGTTAACAGACGACCCCCTTAGGCCCTTATTTCCCTTCAACAAAGTACCCCTGTTGCCAAAACCTAACCTTGGGAAACCCTGTTTTTTTTTTTTTTATTATAACAGAAAGCATTGCCACATGAAATCCTTGCAGGCTACTTCTTTCTTTCCCTCAGCTTTCATTTGGTTTGAAAACGAGAAGTACAAGGTGACATGTTTTGTTTGAGACAAGGTTGCAAATGAATGTGGTGTTGTAACCTTAGTGACTGGTATGGTTAAATTCTGTCAAAGTACATGTGACTTGTACATAATGTGATATGCTACATCTTCTCAAAGGTTATTTTACCTTCCATTTACTTACATAACTTACGATAACTTACAAAGATCTTAATGTGTTTATCAGGAAATACATGAAAGCACTTTTATTCAGGTTGACCTTACAGGTTCTTACAGTCTTTGTTCACAGAGTCAGTACCCTTTTTCCTGCTCAAGTGTTTTCATCACTTTGATGAAACACCGCTGTTAATCCAATGCTATGATAAAGTCGTCCTGTCTTGTACGGATTCTAAGAAACTCCAAGATATTCTTTTAATGTCAGCAAAGATTCAGACTGGCCACCATTTCTATTTCAGGAACTTAGGGTGCTTCGGACAGGAATGTGCCTAAATACTCTTGTGAACACCAAGTGGATATCATAAATCAATCTTGCAAAATGATTGTTCTAACACATTTTCCCTGTCTCATTTCAAATACAAACCAGCCAGCTGTCGTGATTTATCATCATGAAGTGAGCCATAAAACAGCTCACATTGCTGAGTGTCAAATTGATTTTTCTCTTAATCCTGAGCTCAGCACAGTTCCCAGAAGGAGTGCCGCTCTGGTAAACAGGTTATATTTAACCTGTAGCTCCCCTTCCATGAAGTACCCCGAGCAGGCCAAAGGTATTCGTCTTTGCTCCCAGTGCTGCCCCTCTGCTGCAGGGGAGCCGTCTTGTCCTCGCACGTCTCAGCACTCAGCCAGCGCACGCACGCACGCACACATGTGCGTGCGTGCGTGCGTGCGTGTGTGTGTGTCCCTTCAATGTTTATGTCATCAGTAATGCTGCTGCTGTCCCAGAATCACTGATCACACCCGCTCCTGGTAACACAATCAGCAGCCTTTACTCAAGTGAATGTAATAAAATAAAGCTCCCTCAGCTCTTTATTTAAAGGGACAGTCACACTTCACCTGCATTAAACAGGTGTTACTCTATGTCAATGCAGATATTTTTATATCCACTTATTGGTAGCGAGATGCTCTTGGAGTTATCTATGTAAATATTATTCTGTCGACGTGTGAATCCAGGTTATGGTGAGCACTTCATACTGAAATGGTGAGGCCTAAACATTTGGCATAAACACATTTTTCATGTAAGTACATACTACGTACACATTTAATGGGATAGTTCAATCACTTTTGGACACTCCGGCTGAAGAACTCGTATGTGATGCTTTGAAGTAGTGCTTAAATAAATTGGCTTGCTGACGGTGAAGTATAGCACTGAAAAATGTCTTAATATACTGTGATTGAATTTTAGATTGTTTCTTCCCTAAAATTAGCTAAATACCATGGTATTAAAGGCCCCGTCTGTGGCATTAAGCTTAGCCTCCGTGCTGTCACTCACCGGTTTCTCAAGAAATGGGCGGGGCTTACCGGCATATCCTCAGGGTAATACATTTCCTATAGTCAAGTACCTCACACAACTCCACTTCAAAAATAACTAACTATCCTATAACCATTTTTTAAAGTATTGTGACAAATCTATTCACTGAGACAGGTTTTTCAATATGGCGACCGACATCAATGGGCGTCAGAAGTGCACTTAAGAAACCAACACTCGCCAGAGTAATACTGCAGGAACTTACATTTTTGTGTACTCACAATCCACAGAATTAGTTTGTTAGGCTTCAAACCTGTGGTGCGTCAGTCCTCGTCAGAATAATATGCAAGGCATGGAGTGTAAGAACACTGAATGCTGACAGCATGAAAAACAGCGGACATCCGCTTCCACAGAATCCCAAAGTAAAATATGTGGAGTAAACAGCACCGGAAATAAATCCCACTCTCTCTTCCACACCAGTAATGGCAAAGACAGTCTTCTCCTAACTCACTTTCTCTCACATTTTCAATTCACACAAACGATCAATTCAAAATGATCAGTGACAATGGGGATGCACAGGTGCTCTTATGCTATCAACAGCCACCTCAAAGGTATATGGTCTTAAAGGCAATTATCCACAAGGTCACCTGACCCAATGGGTCAGCCCCTGTACATATGGAATATGTTTTTAACTAGGAAAACCTCATTGAGATTAAGAATCTCATTGACAGGCAGAAGGATTTATGGTTTATAAAGTTATGCTTAATGTTGAAGATGTTAAAGGGATACTTCACTCGTTGAAACATGAATCTGTATTGACATTGAATCATGTATGTAGTAGAAATGTGAATACATTTTGAAGTTGGTGCCTTCTTGACCAAGAAAAGGCAGAAAGTGTCTTTTTGGCTCATGTGGATGAAAGACAAAACTCCTAGAACTTCCGAGATTTCTTCCTGAAGAATTGGCATCTTGGAAATTCCTGGCAGCAAACAGACTCTATGTCTGTGTTCATAGACAAACAGTGAGAGCACCAACACCACCAGTCCGCCCCAGCTCGAGCCAGCCTGGCTCCTCGTCCTCACCGTCGCCTACAGGCCGGTCTTCTGCTGCATCTGAAGCAGAAGACCGGCCTGTCTGCAGCCACCTCATTGCTATATTGGGGCTCGTAGAGCTACTAGCAAAATTAAGATTTTTGCGTCATCGAAGCTCCAACAAATACAGATCTTTCCAGTCTCAGGAGGAAATGAGTGCGGGATGCACAACCATTCAAAAATACTACCAAGTTTCTAATGATACAAACATTAGTTTTGTGTCAGATATTTTATGGTCAGGGCAGACAACACACCTTTAGACACAGAGGCTGCAGTCTACAGTAAACGACTGAACAGGATTCCTTTCTCACACGTCTCACAAAGACTTTGTTTGCACACTTCAAACTTTAGGTGAGTCAGTAGTAATTTGTTTGAGTTTCAGCCATAAGAGCTGCCTTGCATCAATAATATGATGTTTAAGATGAATGAAGACGGTGTAAGAAAGGTCAGCCACAGTGGTGACAGAATGTGTTATTTTAAGATACAACAGTACAGTATACAGACAGCACTCATATATTAGCAGATTATTGCTGGGCTGGGGACATTTCTAGATACAGGGTTCAAACTGATTGGGCTGCATTTAGAACAATATTTTTAATATTGCAAAGAAAATTAAGAACCTCAAGTGAACCAATTGGGGCCTGCTTTTCAAGACAGCTCAGGTATATTAAATGTCTACTGCAGCGTGAGCACAAATTAGATCTCTATTAGAGCTACAGAAAACTATGGAGTTTGATAAGTCTCAATATTCATGAATGCACACAGAAGGAACTTTTAATGCAATGTTTTATATAAATTACTATCCACAGAAATATTTGTCAATGCACACACAAATATTTATCATTGTATATAAATGTAAAAAAAATTGTCTCCTTCCTATTCAGCCAATCAAAAATAATGTAGATTCAAGGGTATGGTTTAATGTAACCCCTGCAAAGTCAGCAAGTAGCTGTGTGATTCAAGTCATCTTTATGCTATTTTGTGATTGTCGTACTATAGATGGAAAAATGTTTATCGTTATGGAGCTATTATTGTGGAGAAACTATTTGAATATGTGTACACAGATCCACAAATGTGTAAAAAGATCCACAAATGTGTAAACTAATCTGCAAATATGTAGACCAATTTCAAAATGTTTACTTATTTATTAATGGCAGTGAGTTTTTTTCAGCTGTAAATCCTGAAAATACACACAAATGATCACTTACAACTGAGGCGGGCCTCTCCATTGGCTGTCATTGTTGAAAGTTGATTATCTGCCCATACCCTTTTTAAATTTTGTTCCCATAAAAAGTTATCTTCATGTGATTCGCGTGATGTCAATAAATATTGTTGACTGGGAACTGTAATATTGCTGTGAGAAAACCCCTGATTAAACAAGAGTTTGAATTATGCACACTGAAGATAAAAGTGATATGAATATTACTTTGACATCATAGAAAAAAACAAGGACACAAATAAGTTTTGTTCTTTGGTACATGCTCTGGCAGCAGGACCCTGAGTTATTTGAGAAGCTTCATTTAGAATTTAACCTCTTGTTTGTTTTGATGCAGGAAGCTACACTTTTTAAAGAAGAAGGTTAGCTTTTATCTTGTTCTTTGCTTGGTGGTGACATGAGCAGGTTTCACACACTCCTGAGTGCTGAACGGGTCTGACATCTGAAAACGACAATGAAGTTACACCTGAGGATCATCATCTTTTTATTAGGTAACTTTTTTTGTGCACATACCTGTAAATGTGATTTCACCTGATCATGTCTAATGAACTGTTATATTTTATGTTTAATAGATTTTAGAGGCCATAAATTGAGTTATCTATGTTACTGTATTTAACTTACACTGCACTGGTGTCCTTGTCTTTAAAAGATGCAGTAAGATATTTATCTATTTCCTTAAAACTTTTAATTTATTATATTATTAAAATGTATCTAAAAAAGAACTAACTAACTCCTAACTAACACATTTATTTTTTACAGTGATCGTCTCATCTGCTGCTGTAAAGTTGAAGAGTCACCAGTCAGGCATTAAGGGAGGATCCATCACTTTTCCTGACCCTTTGGAGAATGGACTTCTTTTATTTGAAAGAAGTAGCATTGCTGAAGTGAAGGACAAAAAAATAGATATATTGGAGGAACCTTTCAAGGACAGACTTTTATGGAACAACAAAACTGGTCTTTTCACAATCAGAGGACTAAAGCGGAATGACTCTGGTGTTTATAGTATTGACCCTAAAAAAGGATTTAGTTCCAAAAGAAGTCATAAACTCACTGTATATGGTAAGTAACATATATTTACTCACTCCAGTCATTGGCATCCTAGCCCTTAGTGACCTCAGTAGTCTATATATTTTTACATTATTTGAGCGGATATATAGCATTGCCTACCTAAATTACAAGAGATCAAAATAGTATTCATAAAGAAAAATGTTTAAATGTGGTTGTTATTTTAAAAGGTATTTTCAAATATCTAGCGTTGCTTGCTGTGGGCAAAGTAAACGTCTGAATAAGTATAATGTCTGGATCCTGACAAGTGGAAAGATCAAGCAACTCAGTCATTACAAATGTTGATATTAATATTATTATTATTATTATTATTTGTATTATTATTATTAGCCATAATCTACTTCTTGCCACCAGGAAATGTAGCTTCCTATGCATGAAAATAAATCTTTGCATGAATATTCAGTCCTATGCTAAATTTAACCAACTGTGGTGATCAATAAAACATCAAAAATCTGTAACTTAAATGTTGTAGTTGCTACAAATGTGTAACTTCTACAAGAAAATTGCTTCAAATTTTGCAGAAATCTTCAGATTTTCAGAGCTTGAAGGAATCATGAAGACCATCAGTTTGTTTCTGCAGAGACTGTTAAAGTGTAAAGTTCCTGAATTTGATCTCAATAGCGTAATCCCTTTTACATAAACCAGATTTTTGGTCGTCATAAAAACTTTCATTAACATACATATAAACATAAAATAGAACCCTCAAGCCCCAGTGTTTTTTTCATGATGGAGTAAACAATATTTGTCAAATTAACAGCAGACATTTTGGATCATGTCAGGGTAACTCACGTTAAGTCACAATACAATTTGATACGAAACAATATTGTACGATATGGTGCGATACAATGTGTGGCTCATGATAATGGTAAATCTGCAATATACTTAGAAAGTCAATATTATAATGATAGATCATGATCATCTGATTAACAAAAAAAAAATCTAAATGTCCCTAAACAGTTAAAGTCCAGCTTTAATGTATTTATTCACGGTTACTTGGGGTCAGTTTCACCTTACAGCCATCTTATTTCTTGCTCTAGTTTGACGACCGTGATGAGTCTGGGTAGATCAACATAAAAGCATAATGTACATTATTAAAAGAATAATGTCACTGCTGTTTGTGGCATAACTCTGGTTTTATAACATCAACACCCTCCTGAAAACGTTTACTTGTTATTTTCTTCTCCAGAGTCTGTAGCAGCTCCTGCAGTGGAAGCTGTGAACGTGAGCGCAGAGAGCTGCTCCTTTCTGTGTTTGGTGAATAAGACTGAAGAGACGACTCTGCTGTGGTACAAAGACGAGGAAATAATCAACCAGAGCAGCTCTGCTCTCTCACTGCCTCTCACTGTACACAGACATGATGACACATCATCTTATAGATGTGTGGCAGCCAACCCTGCTGAAAATAAGACTCTTCAAGTCGATGTTAGGAACATCTGTGTGGGACTTAACTCAGGCAGCAAGAGTGACCCCAACACTGGACGCTGTAAGACTTATTTTAACTCCCACATAATAGCTGTCACCTGTTCTACTTTTTTATCATGAATGTTAGGTCGATGTAAGGAACATCTGCAGTCCAGGTGACACAACGACACAAGTAGCAACAGTGAATGTTCATCTTCTCAGTGAGACATGATGTTTATGTTACTGATGTTGGTGATATATGTTTCTGACAGGTGGCAGTAACACACAGTCCTGGTTGTTCCTGACTCCTGTGTTGGTGTTTTGGGTTACTTTTGCTGTTTGCATCCTTTTGACAAACATGAAAAGAAAGCGAAAGAGAGAGACTGACGGCTGATCTACAATCATGTCAGTACACACACACACACACACATACACCGCTCTCAGACTTGCTTTATTCCTGATTTATCACAAAAATCTCTAATTCTAAATATTTATCATTCACCTCTTTCTGTATTTGTGTCCGATCCTCACAGATGCAAACAGTCGTGAAATGTGAGGAAGCTCCAGACTGAGGTTTGTGTAGCTGCCATGACATCCTGCAGTGCTTTGTGAAAAATATCAAAGAAGGGGAAGAGAGTTGAAAACTGGATTAAAAAAAATTGCCCCACACAAATCAGACTGCAATTGCCTTGAATACTGTATGTTCACTTAAAGCTCTTGTTTTGTGCCTGACAGGCTCAGAAGTCAGAGAGAGAGAGAGAGAGAGAGAGAGAGAGAGAGAGAGAGAGCAAGCAATCAAGCTTTTTGTCATTGTTAGACCACTTCAGTTTAAAAGACTGAAATTTTTCCTGGCGCATTTTTCCTTTATTTGTTGTAGAAAATGTGATATTTACAATCCTGCAGGGAGGTGCATTATAGTTTTGCAGGTACAGACATCATTTATAGAATTATTAAAAAAACAACAATAAGTCAATCTTTTCAGGAAACATGAACTCCAAAGAAAGTTTTTTCAATGGATTTAGCAATTGCACATGTTTTGATATTGATTGCAGGTAGTAAGGAGATAATAATACATTTTATAAGTCTGTTTCCTGTAGTCACAGTCAGTACACACTCTGCAATAACAAAACAAACAAACAGATGAAAAGTACTCTAACCAGAGACTCTGTCTGACAAACCACATGAAACAAACAGATTTTTTTTATATTTTATATAAATATGTGCAGTGTTGAGGAGTGGTTTCAGTATCTAATGACCCACAACATGTTTCTGATGGTGTCTTTTCACAGTGCAGTGAAACAGCGCTCTCTTGTGTCACCTTTCATCATTACATCTGCACCCACTGTTTTAGACCTTCTCTTGACGAATGTAATATTGATGTATGTACCAAAAAACAATATAAATAAAGTAAGAAAGCTCATTGTTGTGTTTATTTCAAGAAAGCTAAAATACTGCAATGCTGGTTCCTGAAAATACAATTAGAAAAACTTTATATCCTACAAAGGAGCTTTATTTAAAAAAGTGCATATAAAGGATGTATTAGTCTTTATAAGGCATGAACCTGTTGTAGTCTTATTACTGATATGAATCATCTTTTTAATACTGATAAGTTGTCTATCAACAAGTTTGTTTTAATTGTTCATTCATATTTTACATTTAATACAAGTGTTTTATACTTTGAACACTCATGAAGTCTGAACATTTGCTGTTCAGATTGGTTATTTTTGTCTTTTAATGTCTAATGATGTATTTTGGTATGTTTGGCTGCTCGTTGTTTGTGTGAAACTCTGTTCATTGTGCTGCTGTCTGTCTTGACCAGGACACTTTGGAAAAAGAGATTTTTAATCTCAATGAGTTTCTTTCCTGGTTAAATAAACGAATACGATTATTCATGTTAGTGAATGTTTTAGTCATGTTTATGACCGGTATATCAACTGTTTACATGTTTCTAATTTGATGTATAATTACAATAATACATGTGTAAAATATGTTTGTATTAACATTAACATAGACTTATTTATGTTTATAAGCATCGTATAAGGTTTTATAATTGACTTATTAACAATTAATTAGCCTACTGCTTATTAAAAGGCTTTAAAACACAGGCAGGCTTTATGAGCTCATGATCAAATGGATTCCCAAGACATGAAACAAACTGGGATTTTTTTAAATGTGCACTGGAGTTTAGGTAGAGAAATGTGAAAGTTGGAGAAGTGTACAGATTCTGTGGTATGTTCATGACTCTATACACAAACTGTCCTCAGAGGAAAATGTGGTCCCAGTGTTTCAGTGAATCTGCACAGTGCACCTTTGATATAATAATAATAATACATTTGACTTATAACGCACTTTACGGATTTGAACAGAAATCTCAAAGTGCTAATTGGAATAAAACCAAAAAAACAACACGGGTAAGATCAGGCAGAGTTAAGGACCTGAGCGTAAAACAAGGTTTAAAAACAGTGGTTTTAGGGAGAGGGTTTAGAGAAAGGCTCTTTTAGGAGGGGCATTGCTGTGTTCTGGAGTTTCTGTACACTCTTGCCAGGGATCCCGATGAGAAGTGCATCACAGTAGTCCAGCCTGGAGGAGACAAAGGAGTAGTCAGCGTCTTGGGGGATGAGTGAGGTGGGGAGTTTTTCAATGTTCTTGAGATGGAAGAATGATGTTTTAACAGATGTGTTTTATGTGTGGTTCAAAGGTTAGATGAGGGTCCATTTTTACACCTAGGTTGGTGATGAGTGGTGAAAGATGGATGTCTTGACCAGAGAAGGAAAGCAGTTATGAGAGATGACTGAACTTGGTGAGGTGTGCCGACTAGGATGGCTTCAGTTTTTGAACTGTTTAATTGGAGGAAGTTTTGACTCATCCACGACTTTATGACATTTTCTATACTGGAAGATCTGCTTTTGGCATCTTTGCACCATCAGCTTGGAATTTGCTACAAGGCACTTTAAAAATCAAGGCACTGGTCTCTTATGGCCATTTCAGATCTTTAATTATTAACTCCTTTACTCCTGATTTTGTTTATCTATGATGTGTATATATATATATAAGTATATGTGTGTATGTATACAGTATATGCATATGCTTATGTGTGTATGTGTACATATATATGCATATGTATGTTTGTTATTTTTCATTGTTTATCCTGCTTGATGTCATTGTAAATGAGGGCTGTGCTCTCAATGATTTTCGAGTGTAAATAAATAAAGACATAATACATATACATGTTTTAGGTGGTGAGTGTGGATGAATGTGGTGAGGCTGAGTGGTTGGTGTGGGTTTTCATATAAAGTTGGGTGTCGTCAGTGTAAGGCAGTGTAGTCAGAGGGTGTGGTGATGAAGTAGGAAGCAGACTCATGATTCTGTGTTGAGGGTCCCATCAGTGGACATTTATTTACAAGTGCAACCAGGAAAGATGAATTCTGAACTGAAAACTATAAACATAAGAAACTGAGGAAAAAACACAAACTCATCACAGCATAAGTCCTGGTGTCTGTTCCTGACCTGTTTTTCCCCCACAGCACAAACGACTCTCCTTTATAGAGCCAAACCTCCCCAATTACCCAATTACCAGCACCTGGCTCTTGAAGGCATCACAACATGTGCAATTTTCCCATACGAATACTGTTAGCAGCTTCCCCTTCAGACATGGTATCGTCTTTGACGGCACTGCTAACGTCACAGAAAGCTTAAATACAGGGAAACATGGGGCGGCCTCCATTTCTGCGTGATTCCCGCGACAGGTAAGTTCGTTTGTAGACACAGGAAATTACTTGACTTACAATAACTGTAAAACCACGAAATGAAACTACTAATAGTGATGGCAAAATGAGGCTGTGTGAAGCATTGAGGCTTTCCAGCCAATTGTATCGCAAATAGATTCATTACTCGAGGCCTCATTAAACAGTGTGTAGTGACACTGTTACAGCAGGCTGAGTGTCCTTGATGACCATGTTGACCACAGCATCATCCAACACCTGCTTTCTGGAACCTAGGACAAAACGAAAATGTATTTTAGTCAACATGTATTTCGGTATGATTGTGATGAAGCAAAGCAAATTACAGGGGAAAAGTACAAACCTTGTCTGGTTCCTGGCCTATTATCAGGCTGTACATTCTCATGGACAGCTTGATAATGCCTTAGCATTGATGAGGTGTTGTTGCTATAGGCAAGCTCCTTAAGGCACACCAAGCACTTCACCTTCAAATCAAAATAATAAGCCATCAATAATGAACACAGATAATGATGATAGTGACAGAAATAATTGAAGCGGTTCAGCATATCAATACATGAAAGCTTTGTAGCAAAATGGTTATGGCGGTGCCAATGTCGACGTAGAGGCTCGGGTTTGGATCCAGAAACCACTGAACAAATGTTTTGTTTCAATGTTTTTTTAACGTTTACCTTATTGGGAGATGATAACTGAAAATGCTCCCAAACAGGAGACGTTTTCCTCTTTCTCACAGGCTCCATTTCTCAAAAAAAAATCGAACCAAAACTCCAACTCTCAACAACCAACTAACGCAAACTCACGAGGAGACATGACAAGTGGGTTTCGCTTCCTTTTATCCACAACCCGAAACACAAACAAATCAATGACGTAGTTCTACTCGAAGTGAGGCCTCGTTTGTCATCGATGACGCGCTTCTCTGAAAATGACACGAGCCTCGATACATAGAAAAGCCCCTCGTACTCGACACATGCTTCAAAGCCTCGGTGTCAAACGTAACATCACTAACTACTAATAAAGGTACTATAATTATAAACCATGTTTGTCTGTCATTGTTATTTTTATGTTAACCTGCATTAAGAAAAGATGCAAATGCCACCTAAATATAGCACTACTCAAAACAAACCCGGGATAGTATTGTGTATGCTATATTAGGAGTTCATGGTTAACATTCAGGTGATTAAACAAACATAAAACAAATACATAAATAACATTAACTGGAATATTAGTATGACCTAAGTGACAAATGGCCTGGTCGAGTCCACTTTGTCACAGTCAGCGTAGCAGGGGAATGAGTTTCCGTGTGTCGGGTGATGATGTGTCCGAGGGGAAGCAGGTAGAGGGTGAAGCAGGTAGGGCCGAGGACTGATCCTTGGGGGACCCCACAGGTGACGGGGTGTGTGCAGGACTTGGTGTCTGCAATTTCAATGTATTGAGTCCTTGCAGATAGGTAGGACTGAAACCAGTTTAGTGTCTGAGAGTGCTGTGGAGTCGGTTCAGGAGGATGTTGTGGTCGATGAGATGCTGCAGTCAGATCGAGGAGGATGAGCAGGGATGGAGAACCGCCCTCAGCTACCATCAGCAGGTCAGTTGTGACCCTAACCAGGACTGTTTCGATGCTGTGGGAAGAGCGGAAGCCAGACGGGAATTTGTTGTAGAGGTTACTAAGTTGTAAGTGGTCGTGGAGCTGGGCGGCAACTGCTTTTTCCAGAACCTGTAAGGGGAACGGGAGGTTGGAAATCCCTTCAGACAGTAGGGAGGGATTAATGACTGTTGTGTTTGGTGGACTTATGGCGTGGATGTTTGATTTTACCAGGGCTGAGGGGAAGGGGTCCAGGGCACAGGTGGTGGGTTTCATTCTGCGGATGATGCTCTCGACTTCTTGCTGTGAAATACTGGCAATGCAGCAGAGGGGCTGGGAGATCATCGGCTGTGGGTTGACAGTAATATAAAGTGGAAGTAAAACTGAATAAACTCATACTCTGCATGTATTCAAAGAGTTGGCAGTAATCACTTTATCTCTCACTGAAATAGAACAAAAAGTTTAAATAGCAGTGTACTATATATTTTCATAAAATGATCTATTTTTCTTATTCTCTGCACAGACAAATAGACATGTTTTCACCCGTGTTTAAAACAGGATTACAGAATTAACCTTGTGGTATGATTCAGTCATCCATGAAGTTGCTAATGATCAACAAAATGTCAGTATATGTAGTGGAAACTTTGAAAGTTATCTGGCTAACTGTGTGACTTCTTTGTGGAGTACATAAAGAATATTCAATTCAATATTTTCATTTTTTAAATCAGTTCAGCCCTGATGTTCTTCCAAGCAGATTGTGGGAAGTAAAACCACTCTAACTGTATCTAACACCACAGGAAGAGAAACTCTTTGGAACCAACAAAAATCATTTTGCAGTGTTGGTTTTGCTTCTTTTTCTAAAGAAAAAGTATTTGAGTTCTCCGATGCTGCCACTCAGTGGGGTGACTGCTGTGAGGTCAAGTGCGTACCCTCTGTACCCTTTTTATCATCTTTTTGTCTCCATTAAGGACCGTATTTTATACATTTGATTAATATCATGCAGAACAGTTTAAACTAGCAAGAGACCCAAAATCATTTCCAAAAAACTTTACTAAGGAAATATTTCAATTAAGAAGAAGTGTAAAGTTTTAAACACAAAGGATTCCACTCGTCATAAAGAAGACTTTGTAAACTGTGGAGTCGCCTCTTGCTTGCCATTAGTGTTAGGACTTCAGCATTGTCTTCACTTTTGAAAGCAAGAAGTTTTGTCCACTTGTTATTCTATAAAATTGTCCTTAACACTGCATATTGTCTCCTGTGGCCACGTTTGGCCATTTCTCTCCATATCCTTTCACAAACAAAAGATAATTGCTAGTGTTTTGAAAAGTGTCACACCAAATACTAACACAACACTGTCCCTCCACTAACTCCATCACAGCTGTCCATGTTTTCATTGAGTGAGAGTGACTCCTTCCCTCAGCAATCCTGTCAGCACAGAACTGTAACAAGCACCACTCAAGAGTGACATCAGTTGCATGCACTCTGATTCAAGATTCAAGATTCAAAAAAACTTTATTGTCTATCACATTGTGACAGAAAATTACCTTTTGTTGAGGCTCAACATGAAAACATACAAACATTCACACTAACACTCACATTAGGTCATAAATAGCTAAAAGTACCCTAAATAGGTAAAAACACATATGCACAGCATTTAAAAAACATTTCTTATTTAGCCTTGTTTAAAAAGCGTATTGCAGTGGGAATAAAAGAGTTTCTGTAAGTTTTCTTTTTTGCCAGTGGTACTCTAAAACGACTGCCTGAGGGGAGCAGCTGAAACGAGTGGTGAAGGGGGTGTGAAGGGTCCTGAGTGATGCAGACTGCTTTCCTTTCCTGACCTGGCTGTGTTGACTGAGGTTGCATTTCAAAAGATCCGAGCTCAGACATGAAGGTGGCCCAAATCTGATTTGAAGTTGAATGTGCCTTGTGCTGTTCAAACTGTGACTGAAAAAATCTGATCCAACTCATATATGTGACAAAATGTATCATTGGGTCATTTTAAACTGCAGCGTGAATGCAGCATAAATAGTGGCCAGGTGAAGTCCTCGATGGCAGAAGAACTTTTATTCTGGACAATGTTCAGCTGTACAGTCTCTCCCACTCTCTCCTTTCTCTCTCACCATTATCTGTGCCCTCTCTTCCTGCTGCTGTGGGTATGTTTGAATCACTAGCCAAAAAACAGCATGCATTACCATTATGAGTTATTCAGGAGGTCAGGATGTCTTAGTTAGTTGTTGAAACAATACACTTTAAAAGTCTCAGTGTCTGATCAGATATGAATGATTTAGTCAGAGATTTCTTAGCGGTCAGATGAAACACACTGCTTGGTAAACAAACATTTCAAATCATTCCAATACAATGAAGGTAAAACACCGTCCACTGTGTGTAAGAGACTTTTTATATGAGCTGTCAAACTAAATAAGTGTGTTGCAAACATTTTGGTATGTGTGTGAGGTTTGTGCTTTGAATGCAGCTCTGAGTTCTACTTTATTTCTCCTCCCTCTGGAGCTGACATAAGCTAAGCCTCTCCCTTCCTCATACCTTCCTCTTTTGGTAAACAAAACCAGCTGTGCTATTTCCTATTAAGTAAACCACTGCTCAGCTGCAGATTGCAATGTTGGTAAGTACAAACTCCATTATATTACTTTTGCTGTCTTTTTTTAAAACTGTGTTTTTGTGTTTTTGTGTTTGTTTTTTGTGTTGTATCAAAGCAGGTACAGATATTGGTTCTTTTGAGTGAACTGCTAATCTGCAGGATTGGCTGCAGCTTTCTGTGGGAAAAGTTCAGTGTTTAGTGAGTCATCTCCTGTGGAGTGACACATTGTGGGTTATTTTTTATTAGTTTTTGTTGTGATTGTAACAATCTTGGGTTGTGTTCACGAGTGGCTACAAGTTGTAGTTTGTTATTGTCTTATTTCTTTTCTTATAACAATCTGCACGGACTCTGTGTTTCCTTGTATGCAAACACTGGACTTTGACCACATTTGTGACCTGCACACATGATAAGTGAAATATGACACGAAAGGCAGAAGCAGAACGTTGATCGAGATCAGGGCGAGCAGCGACATTCCTGATGGGTTCCAAATAAAGTCGCAGCAGCTTGTTGGGTTTGTTTACATCAGCACTCCAAGAAGATCGTTGTTGTTACCCAGCATTCAAATCAGGGTTTCCATGGTAACAAATACACTTTTAATCCAATATTTTTAAAGTAAGTGGTCCCAAGTTACTTCATGGAAACCTTTCTATCTCTCTTCCTCTTTTTTAGTTCCCTAAAATATCAAAAACACTGAATTTATGTGAACCAAGAAAGTCTAGAGTCACAGAACTCTAAAAAGTGATTATTGTTATTGTTTATTATCCAAACTTGTACTTGTACCAATACAACTAATAATAATAAGAAGAATGAGGTGCTGATTCCATTTAACATTAGATAATTACATTTTGGCCATTGTAAAAGGTTTCAAATGTGCAACTCTCATTGCCAATTACATTGTAGCTTCCCATTGAAACAGAAAATACATTAGCAGACTAGAAAAATATTTACTGGATTACAGCAGATAGCTTATTTTTAATATACCAGTCCATGTAAAGTAGATCATTGGAGATACAATAAATTAAGTAAATACATGACGGGCTTATGTATTATTCAAGTCTACTGCTTTAGATGTAGAGAAGATAAAAGAGTGCATGTAATAGCTAACAGTCCTAAAGAACACTTACAGAGTACCTCAGTAATGAGTCCTGAAGTCTGGCAGTAAGTGACCAGTCAACATTACTTAATGCCCCCCACTCAGAGCAGGCAGGAACCAGGCCTGTGTGTGTGTGTGTGTGTGTGTGTGTGTGTGTGTGTTTGTACAGTAGTGTGCTTAATGATGAAAACTTGTGTTCAGAGATTTGCAGAACTGTGATTGAGAATGATATTTGATTGAGACCAATGGAGTTGTGCTTAAAGTTTAGCGCTTTAGAGTCACGTTGTTGATACATGAACTTCAAATCATAATTGTCAAAATTCAACCGTGTGTTTTTGAAATGGGGAAAGCAAAACTTAGCATTTACTTTTGCTTTTATTTCCTGTTTTCATGTACTTCTACATTTAATCCTGTTTATAGTTTCAAATCTATTTCTTAGTCTTTTACAATGTTTTTATTTTTACGTCACTCCTGTGATTAATCCTCTGACAAAAACCTAAATTTAGCACAATGGAATAAGAAAACAGAACAACATGGTGAGAATACAATCCTGAAAGACAAGTGAGACAATCTTTAAAATGTTTTTCAAATGATGTTCTATTCTGCAGAGCTGAGCAATGCTATACATCACCACTAGATGGCGCCACTGCTCTACTTTTCAAATAGTATTGAAGCTGCAGAAATGTTTACAGCCTTGTTAAAAAACGGATTAGATCAGCTGTCTCTCTCTCTCCTCTCTCTCAATTCAATTCAATTCAATTCAATAGGGCTTCATTAGCATGGAAAACACATGTTTACATTGCTAAAGATAAATTCAAAATAAAATACAAAATTAAGTACAATTAAAGAATAACAGGATCAAATATTAAACTAACAGAGCTGTGCAGGTTTAATTTTTTTAGATACAAGATAAAAAATTTATTTAGCGTTTAAAATATTTACAGATTACTTCAGATAACTTACAGAAATATATAATAAAAATATTAAGACTTAAAGACACTGTATGTTTTAAAGACTAGAGGTGTATGTACAGTTATATACAGATCAAGATTAGTGCACATGATGGTGCACTGATGTTTTGTACACGGGGGTTTGGAGCTGTTGGACGCTCTCTTCCGGTCGCAGCAGCTCACATAACGTGCTGCAGTGTTTTCACGCTGATGTACCTCACCCAGCACCTCCACAAGTTTGTGGTTGTTGTCCATTGAGGTCAATTGTTTCTGTGTGTTTGTGATGAGAGGGGAGTGAGTCTCTCTGATGTTCTGGTACAGTGGACAGGTGGTTAAAAGGTGCAGACTCTGTCCTCTTTGGGGAGCCAGGTCTGTCTGTGGCGTCCTCTCTCCATGGTGAGGTCGTGTTCACTGAGTCTGTACATGGTCAAACATGTTTCTCTCTCTCTCTCCATTATCTGTGCCCTCTCATCCTGCTGCTGGGAGTACGTTTCCATCAAAAAACAGCATGCATTATCATTTGTAAAAGAACATTTCAAATCATTCCAATACAGTGAAAGTAAAACACCTTCCTTTGTGTGTGAGAGATTTTTTATATGAACTAAATAAGTTTGTTGCAAACATTTGGTGTGGTGTGTGGAGGAGGTTTGTGTTTTGAATGAAGCTCTGAGTTCTGCTTTATGCAGACTATTGTACAACTACACGTTCTCCTCCCTCTGGAAACTGCTTTCACCAGCCAAAAGCTTCTCCCTCCTCCTTCCTCTTTGGGAAACACATTTGTTTGGTTATTTCTATAGCTGCTTATTGTAATGCTGGTACAAACTACATTATATTACCTTTGCTGTCTTTTTTAAAACTTTGTTTTTGAGATTGTGTGTTTATTTGTTTATGCAAAGCTGGTAGGCCTACAGATATTGGTTCTTTTCAGTGATCTTTCTGTAGACTCCGTACCAGCAGGAGAAGTTCAGTGTTTAGTGAGTCATGTCCTGTCAAGTGACACATTGCAGGTTATTTTAGATTTTTGTTTGTTTTTGATATCTGATATCAAAGCTCAGTTTCCTGTACTAGTAAGGTCTTAGACTGCACTAGTTTATTAAGTTACTAACTTTTTATAAGTTCATGTTGCTTTTAAAAAGGAATCAGATATTTAATCAAATGAAGCTATGCACTTTAAAACAACTGGATCTTGATACATCATTTTGTATTATATCCTTGTCTAATACAATTTAATCAGTAAACTAAGCGTGCATTCAAGATGAAATGAGCCCTAAAAATAAGATTTCATTATGTTCAGTGAAGGTTACAAATTGTACTACATGCAAATACCCACAAGATGGAGATATTCACCACCAGTCAAAAGTTTGGACACACAACAGTAACAGTATTGTCAATAATACAGTATATTACTGTAAGCTGTATCTATAGGACACACCTACTAATATACCGTTAGGGTTTTCCTTATTTTTTACTCTTTTCCACATTTTACGATAATAGTAAAATATGAAACATTTGATTTTTCAGAAAGAAATGCATACATACATACATCAACTGTTTCTACTCATATGTCAAACATTTAGGCATTAGCCTTTAGATCAAAATGTCTTTAAGATAATAACATGCATTTCAATCAGGTGTGTCCAAACATTTGACTGGTACTGTATACAAATGTCTGCTAGTAGCACTAGTTGTACTAGTACTACTATATTTAGACTCTTACTAGTACTACTAGTTGACATTTTGGATCGTACTAGTACTACTAATACTATTAGTACTATGAGTAGCACTAGTAGTGAAGTGGACAATTTGTACACTGTGTCCACTGTGTCCACAACAAAGTTCAATCATCAACATAACCAGGCTGCTTTTCTTTGGTGTGGATGACTTTGGCTCGGGTGTATTTGTAGCAGATAATCTAAATAGATGATGACACTTTGTCACACATAACATACACAGTTCACTGTTAATGAAATGTCCTCCTGTGGCTGGGTGGTGGCTGTGTTTTAGTGTTTTTAGCCCACATCTTCCCATTGCCCTCTATGATATGCTTTTGGAAGTGGAGACATGCCCTCCATGCGTCTCTTAATATGGTGCATGACAAGGTTTGCCCAGCTCCTAGATGAAAAGCTGCCGTGCATTGGTCACACCTATGCATGTGAGCAGGGTGTGGTGCAGACAACGTTGGTGGCAACATCCATCACATTGTACCAGAGCACCATGGGCCATGTTCTCCGCTTATTTGTACCAGAGCACCATGGGCCATGTTCTCCGCTTATTTGTACCAGAGCACCATGGGCCATGTTCTCCGCTTATTTGTACCAGAGCACCATGGGCCATGTTCCCCACTTATACAAGTAGGTGCAAACAATCTGATCCATTGTGTCCACTTGTTTTGTTGTAGTACTGGATTACTTCCTGTTTCTTCTTCACACTGTTGTCATCCTGCTTTGTCATCATGCATGGTGTTCAGGAGGACAACAGCCTTTTCCTTCTTCAGCACATTGCTCACCATGGTCATGTTGCCATTTAATCAAAACACTGACCTACTGTATGTATCTCCCTCGTTTAGGATGGCAGGGGTTATGAATGGCTTGTTCTGGTGAAGGGTTCCCACAATAGATACTGTCGCCGTCACATCAGAGTTGGGGGCAAAAAAATGTGTTGCAAAGAAAGCTTATTTTGCAAAACGTGGGATGTATTCCACTTGCCTTTTAACTATTAATCCAACATTCGTGGTAACCCTGACATTAACTCTTTGCTATTGAAACGAGAAGTGAGCTGGATACACACACTAAACACTTTAGCCCCCGGGACTTAAAGGAGAACTTTGACATCCGACCTTCTTTATAAAAACATCTAGTATGTTATAATCAGTGGGATCTGATGATCCTGATTTGTATTGTATTTTTTCATTTCTCTGTTTTGTTTTTCTCTGTGTATATGAATACAGTATGGTGTTTCAATTTCCCCTCTTCCTTAATACA